CCTACAGGTGAAAGCAAGTCCCACTGGACTTCAATACAGCTGTTCACATTCCCAGAATTAACCAAGCAAATGAGAGTTTTCTGCCTACAAACTCGTTAGGAGAGATCAGCAGCAAATAGGAAGAGCCCTATTCTCCCCAGCACCACCTGGGGTGACGAGGAACAATGACCAGAAGCTGCTAGAGAATAGGTTCAGGTTAGAGATGAGGAGGCACTATTTCACTGTAAGAGTAGCTAGGATCTGGAACCAACTTCCTAGGGAAGTGGTCCTTGCTCCTACCCTGGGTAAATTCAAAAAGAGGTTGGATGAACATCTGTCTGGGGTCATGTGACTCCAGCGTATGCTCCAACCAGTGGCGGGGGGGTAGACTAGACGATCTATTCAGGTCCCTTCTGACCCCTAACTACTATGAAGCTATGAGACACATGCTCATGTTTATGCTTCTACCCCGGCCGTGGAGCTGAGCGGTGTGAGAGATGCTATGGGTTGTGTCCAACCAGGTGCTGCTTGGAGGAGCTAGTTACACACAAAAAACAACAGAGACAGTTGAAAAGAGCCTGGGAAGGAAGAGGGTGTGGGTGGAGCTGGAACAGGAAGGTCACAGAGAATGAAGCAGAAAAAGGAGCAAAATGGGTTTTGTCACCCAAAGCTTGTAATACTCAGCCAAAAATAGGAAGTGAAGACAGTTACTCTCAAGCCTCACCTTGTGATTTCCCTCCCTGAACACCCCATGTTGGGCACAGTAACTGTTTCAGTGACAGAGGTCTTGTTCATGCAGTGCAGGGAGCGGGTGCACAACTAGGTTATCACAAGAAAGGCTCAGATGGCCAATCAAAATGCAGGCAACAAGTTAATGTAGCCATCACTTGCCCCCCTGCTACCAACATGCCTCTCCAGTGCAGCTCTATACCCCAGATTTCAATAGCATCATAGAAAATGAGGGTCGGAAGGGACCTCAAGAGGTCATCTAGTCCAACCCCCTGCTCAAAGCAGGACCAGCCCAACTAAATCACCCCAGCCAAAGCTTTGTCGAGCCGGGTCTTAAAAACCTCTAAGAATGGAGAGTCCAAAGCCTCTCTGGGTAACCTGTTCCTGTGTTTTACTACCCTTCTAGTGAGAACATTCTTCCAATATCTAACCTAAACCTCCCTTGCTGCAACTTGAGACCATTGCTCCTTGTTCTCTCATCTGTCACCACTGAGAACAGTCTAGCTCCATCCTCTTCTGAATCCCCATTCAGGTAGTTAAAGGCTGCTATTAAATCCCCTTTCAGTCTTGTCTTCTCCAGATTAAATAAACCCAGTTCCTTCTGCCTCTCCTCAGAAGTCATGTCCCCCAGCCCTCTCACCATTTTTGTTGCCTTCTGCTGAGCTTTCTCCAATTTGTCCACATCCTTTCTGTAGTTTGGGGCCCAAAACTGAACACAGGACTTTCAGTGTGGCCTCACCAATGCTGAATACAGGTAAATAATCACTTTGTGTGACCTGCTGGCAACACCAATTCAGCCCAGGATGCCATTAGTTTTCTTGGGAACAAGGGCACACTGCTTGTTCATATTCAGCTTATTGTCCACTGTAACCTCCAGGTCCTTTTCTGCAGAGCTGTTGCCCAGCCAGGCAGCCCCCAGACTGTACTGGTGCCTGGGATTGTTCCCTCCTAAGTGCAGGACTTTGCACTTGTCCTTGTTGAACCTCATGAGATTTTTTTGGCACAATCCTCCTGTTTTGTCTAGGTCACTTTGAATCCTAGCCCTTCCCTCCAGTGTATCTACTACTCCCCACAGTGTGGTGTCATCTGCAGTCTTGTTGAGGGTGCACTCTACGCCCTCTTCCAGGTTGTTGATAAAGACACTGAACAACACTGGCCCCAGGACCAATCCCTGGCCCACTCCACTTGATATCGGCTGCCAACTAGACATCAATCCATCCATTACTACCCTCTGAGTCCGATTCTCCAGTCAATTTTCTATCCACCAGTTTTCTATTCATCCAGCCCGTACTTCCTTAGCTTGCTTGCGAGAACGTTGTGGGAGACCGTATCAAAAGCCTTGCTAAAATCAAAGTACACCACATCCACTGGTCTCCCTGCATCCACAGAGCCAGTCACCTCATAGAAGGCAATCAGGTTGGTCAGCTATGAGTTGCCCTCGGTGAATCCATGCCATGCTGACTGTTCCTACTCACTTTCTTCTCCTCCAGGTGCTTAGAAATAGATTCCTTGAGGATCTGCTCCATGAATTTTTCAGGGACTGAGGTGAGACTGACTGGTCTGTAGTTCCCTGGATCCTCCAGTGGTGGAGTCTATCCCCACTCACTCCACCCCCAAATTCCTGGCCCCTTGAGGAGCCCTGTGGGCCAAACAACACAGCTCTGCAGGCCAGAGATTTGATACCCTTGCTTGAAAGAATCCAGTGCAGGTGAGAAAGGGAAGGCTGACAGCCCTAGAGGCTGAAGTCCTCTATTTTGCCACAGAACAGCTATAGCCGTGCTGCACTGCATGCCAGTGTGCTAGAAGACAGGCCTAGAAAAAGGAATGTAGACAAGGCAAGTGCATCCAGATGGGCACTTTTTAATACAGGTGAAAAAATAAGAAAATTGGTGCCAGACTTAATAGCAATTTGTTGGAAATATTTCTTCCATTAAAAGCTGAGCAGACACCCATCAACTTGTTGCACAAATGTGCTTCCAGTTTAAGGGCTAAAACTCTTGTAACAGAGGAAAATTTTATTCAAATGAATGGATTTGCTCTCATTTACACCAGCAGAGGATTTGGCCCCTTGAGAATAAGAGGACTTGGCTATAGATCTGGACCAGATTGCCAATGGTGAACAGGAGAAAAAAGTATGCGTGTCCAATACTTGTCCCCAGATCACTAAGTGACCTTAAAAGCTTCCTGTGTTCAGAAGTATAACTGGTAATACTCAAGACTAATCACGAGGCATGAGCTTCTCGTCTCCATACATGTGTGAAGTGACCTCAGAAAAATGTGACCGAGTAGACATGTAGTAGAAATACACCACAAGTACAAAACAGTTCTCTCCTTGCATTCAGATATCAGAAGCAGAATAAACATTTAGAAGGCGACCTAGGGGGTTGCTGCTAATACTTTGCGGTAATTTAACTGCATTTTGGAGGGCTGTTGTTAGGCCAAGCTGAGGAAACCCCACTGCCTATCAGATACATACATTGAGCCTGAGGAGGGAGATTTTGCACATATGGTTAAGTTCCAGCTTGTTAAAGGTGCTGGGTTGCCTGAAATCCTCTGCTTGTTTAAGGTATAGGTACAGTACAAGTCAGAGTAGTAGCCGAGCAAGTTTCCCACACGTGAAAACACATCCACATACAGGCCCCATGATTTCATGAGAAAGTTGCATCTTCCAAGATTGCAGGGGTTTAGGTTGTAGTCGTGTTGGTCTAAGGATATAGGCAGACAAGGTTCCTTGGGTGAATTTGATATCTTTTATTAGACCAACCCAAATGGTTGGAGAATAGTTATTAAGCAAGCTTTCGTGCAGCTTCCTGAGCCTGACGAAGGGTTTTTGAACCCGAAAGCTTGCTTAATAACTATTCTCCAACCATTTGGGTTGGTCTAATAAAAGATATCAAATTCACCCAAGGAACCTTGTCTGCATCTTCCAAGACACACTCTTAATCTGTTCTGGCTCTGCCGTCCATGCCATTTGTAGTTGGAGCTGGATGCTAACTCCTCACTGGGGGTAATTCCTTCCCAGCTCATTCAACAGCTTTGTTACCTAGCTTTTCCCATTCTTTGTTGCCAGAGGGTAGTTCTGGGTGATTCTGATGATGTGGTCAATGGTGTGGTAGAGGACAGAAAGCTATTTTTTGATGAGAGACTGTGGTGCACTGACTAATGTCGATATAGTGGGCGGTGGTCATCTGTCTCCTGTACCTGCCAATGTCACCTGCTACTTTCCTCCTCGTGTAAGGGGGCGCTATGCCAGATAGTGAGTACAGGCAGGGAGCAGGGGTGGGTTTTAGACAGC